TGTCCAAATTTAAGAATTTTTATATTTTCTATTTCAAATTTAAAATATAATATTCATTATCACAGATGTTTATATCACTGGCTTGAACCAAAATTCATTAAAAACTTGTATTAAAAATGATACAGTTTTAGCATTATGTAGGTATTTATGCAATGCTTCAGTGTATATACCATATGCGTGTTTGTATAAACACGACACATGCACACAATGTATCAGTGTTATTTTTATACCAAGAAACAAATACAATGTATATATAAATAATATTTAATGCATTCATGCATATATATATTATGTAGTGTGTCCTCATTTAATGTCATTGATTTGAAAGTGTCCCATGAAACCCCTTCTTCGGAGACACAGAGGAAAGCACTGCTAGACAAAATGATTGGAATGAAAAGAGGGGCTGAGGCTCTGTCAGGCACACAGCTGACACCCATGTTTATTGAGCTCCTTATAAACTTATCTTAGTAAAGGTTAAAAATAGCAAAAAGAAGCGAAACAAGGTAAGATGTTAAAACTGCCATTAAAACTCCAAATCAGCACAAAACTGCTACTGATCACAAGCACAGTTAAAAAAGGCATTTTTACTTCAGACATAACCACAAAAGTGCCAGGATGTCTGTTCCTGTTTGCCCGTTTCCTTTAAGCTAAAACTGACTACTGTTGTGTAAGTGAGGGGGGAGGTACAGGATACAGCAGCCCACTGCCTCAGCAAGTGTTATCTCCAGCTACAACCTGGCACAACCCACCAGCTATCTTGTCTGTAAACATGTGACTAAAAAAAACAAAACAAAACAAAACATGTGACTGTCTGCTTTTAGGCAGATCTAAACATATCTCAGAATAAGAAGCTTAGAGTCACATTCCTCAGGGAGCACTTGAGAATAAACTACTATGCTTAGGTACGGGGTGGGGGGCTGCACCCCAACATTGATAGGTTCATAAAAACTGTGACTTTAAGCAAAATTATGTATTGGAAGGAAAACAATTTTACCATAGGCAAATTGATATAAACAAAATGCCAAATTTCTATGGAATATAGAAGTTCATTTTGCTTAAAGTTGCAGATTCCAAGGACCTATTAATGACAAATGATGACTTACATGCATAAAACATCAACATATCCACTGTCATATCTGTAGACTGTGCTCGCTATGTCTATTCCTAGCGTTCTTGTCCTTTTTTAAAAAGCACTGCTGTTCCGCTCTGTATTTCCTCATCAATGCACAGCACACAAAATGCTGATGAGAATATAATTGACTCAGCAGTGTTTGTACAGCTGAGTTGAAGTAAGTATTATGCGAATGGTGAAAGAACCACCAAAACAAACTCCTAGAGAACAAATAATGTTCAGCTGAGTCTTTCTACCAGTACACCTTCTGTGGTCTTACTGTTTCTGTCCCCTCAAAATTTATGATAAAATGTCACCATGGGCTGCGTGTGGTAGCTTATGTCTGTAATCCTAGTGTTTGGGGGAGGAAAGGCAGGAGGATCCCTTGAAGCTAGAAGTTCAAGACCCACCTAGGCACAAGAAGAAGGCCTTTGCTCTATAACAAAATTTAAAAATTAATTAATCACAGTGGCGCATGCTGATAATCCCACTTACTCAGAAACCTGAGGCAGGAGAGTCATTTAAGCCTGGAAGTTGGGAGGTTGTAGTGAGCTGTGATCATGAATGCTACAGTACTCCAGCCTTGAGGACAGCGCAAGACTCTGTTTCAAAACAGGAAAATGCAGAAAACCCAAAAAATCTTATCACTAATGTGATTGTATTAGTTGATGAGACTTTTGGGAAGTAATTTGAAAAAAGGTGCCCTCATGAATGACATCAGTACTCCTTTATTAGAACACCCAGAAATCTGCTTTGCTATTTCCACCATATGAAGATGTGAATAGGAGGCACATTCTATGAATTAGAAAACAAGACCTCATCAGGCACTAAATCTTCCAATGTTTAACCCCAACTAATCTTGGAGTTAGTTACCTCGAGAACTGTTTATAAGCCACCCAGTGTATGATGTTTTGTTATCACAGCACGCATGGATAAGAAGAGACAACATCATTCCAATACATTTTTTTCTTTATTCTTCTTTCACATTTCAGAACCTTTGTGATTACATTGAGCCCACTAGTAATTAACAATAACATCTTTACCTTAAATTCAAGTGATTATCAACCTTCATTCCATAGGCAACCTCAATTCTGGTTTTTCTATAACATAATATATTCCCAGGGTCTGTGAACATCCTTGGGTGGGTGGGGTCACTGGTTTGTTTACCATCAATCCTATTAACCAATTTAATTATATTAGACATGATTCTAGCTCTCTTCAAATTTACTTTTAAACCCAGATATCCCTCATATAAAATTTCTTCATCTCCGGAAGAAAGTTCTCAATTTTCTTTTTCTTTTTCTTTTTTTTTTTTTGAGACAGAACCTCAAGCTATCCCCCTGGGTAGAGTGCCATGGCATCAAGCTCACAGCAACCTCCAACTCCTGGGCTC